TCAAGCGAAACTCGTCAAAAATTACGACAAAGTTTTAAATTTTTTTTTACTACCTCAATTTTTGTTAGAAATATATTGCTTCAACTAACAATGTCTCTTTTTTGGGTGATTTGTTCCTCTCTTTGGGTTCTTTCGTAGACTTATCGATAAGAAAATGTTATTTTTTTAACGATATTTCATTTTCGGATGAAGAAATTTTTTTTTTCACTCTTTCAGGGAGTACCCCATTTTGCCCGCAAAAAAAAAATTTTTTTTTTCTACGGCAACTTGAAATTTGATTATTTTCCTTTAATTACGACTGAAAACGAGAAAAATCAGCGTATTTAAGTCCTTAAAATCATAACGATTGCTTAAGTACCCCATTTTGCCCCCCCTCCCCTATATGAAAAATATATCAAAATACATGTGGGTACTCAAATGAAAGCTCTTGATGAGTATGTTGCATCGGGATGAGCTTATATTTCTAAAAACGTCAGTAGTTAATAAAGTACAGTGCAATTGAACAAAAGTCATTATTTAATGAAGCAAAATTTTATTTATTTATAGTTCACAAGTCACGGCAGTCACATTGTGACTGCAAGGTTACTAATTATTATTATTATTAAATTAAAATAAATGAATAAATATTTTCAATTATATTGAAAAAAAAATTGCATCAATACAAAATTAATTAACATATATTAATGAATTGAATTGAATTGAATTTATTGATTTATGCCAAAGCCTTCACTGGCCAGATGGCAATAGAAAAATATACATTTTGTGAATACAATACATTTTTAAATTTTTTGATTTAAACATAATAATTATAACTTATATATAATTATACATAATAAGATATTAGAAGAAGTAATATTGCTTATATACTAATTTTGAAGAAACAATTTAATGAATATAGTGACTTATAATATCGAGTAAGCTCATAGGACAATCATAATCCGTACAACTGCAATTACTTTCAGCATCGACAATTTCTTGTGACAAGTTTTCCTCTTTGGAGCTCGACGGCCTGAAACGAATAAATAATTAATTAATAAAACCAATTGAATGATACCGATAATTAATTAACACAAGTTTGATATTATACGTGAAAAGAATGTGAATAATATCGCCGACTAAACCATTTCCGGTGACAGGATTCAACGCAGCTTCACAAATCGCTCTCAATAGACACTTTCGACCGGGATACCCGGCACTGAAATTCAATAATCAATAATACATTTTTTAATCCCGTGACAACAGATCGTAAATATCTGTCTATTTATTTATTAAATTTTATTTACCTTTCTAATTTACTTTCAATAATATCGTAAGTAAATTTACGGTTTATGTTCTCTTCTTGATAACACTCGTAACAATCTGTCAGATTTTTATCATTTGGCAGTCGGTAATTCGCTTCAAAGTAAAACGCCATTGATACGGACTTTTCTGGCAGATCTAGCGGAACGCTAATTGCGAAAAATATCTGAAATTTTAATCAATTAATTATTATTTACGGCAAAAATATTGGTCTTAGAAAAAAAGATTTAAACAAAAGTTGTTCAAAATTTCATCTCATGATTTTTTTATGCAACCAATATTTTCACTGTAAATCCAAACTTAAGATTAATAATAAATAATTCAAATTTTTTTCATAATTCAAGCTTATGAGTACCTTAATTTTGAAATTACGGCTTTTTGATTGGTCCTAAGAGAAAAATATGAGACATTTTTTTTTATAAAATTAAATTTTGAACAACTTTTATCAAAAAAATTCTTTTCTAATACTAATATTTTGGCCGTAATCTCAAAAATTTAACACCATTAATTAAGAATTGACGTGAAAATTTATAATAAATAATTTTAGATAAAAAAAAAAGTTTTAATAATTAATTACCCCCATTCCACTGCCCTGCGGATAAGTAATTGATCTAATGTGTCTGCCGACCGCCAAAGTAACATTTTTGACTTTTGAACCACTGGCGATATTTACGAAAATCAAGATTAAAAAAGAGTAATTATATTTAATACAATAATGACACATGTTTTACGCTCTAAAGATATAACAACATTTGTCTCAGCTTCAAGATCTGGGAAATTAGCAGGATAATAAAGTTACCACGGAAGTTTAGCTGTCAGTGAATACTAATTTTCATAATCTAATAGAAACAATTAACAAAGTGTCTTGTACCAAGATTGTTATTATTACTGCGATAATTAATACTCATTGTTATATTAGCAGAAAAAAAATAATATTGTAAGTTTAATCGTATGATCATAAATTTAAAATCCTCTACTAAATTATTTTTTTATCCTCACGCTTACGACGCAGTTAAATTATTTTTTTATTACTTCCATTTGATAACCGGTTATTCCTATTACCATTATGTTTTTGACATTTAAAGCTGCTGAAAAGATTTATTTTTTTAATCAAAACCGAATAAACTTTTAAATTCAATTTAGTTTTAATAAATAAGTAATAACAATTTATTGAAACATTTTAGTTTAAAAAAAAAAACGATGATTTGATATTTAAACAAGTTCGTCAGCACTTTCGTGACAATTTTTGTTGTACAAGACAATGAAGAGTATCGATCCTGAGGGTATGTCGTCGGTGGTAGGTTGTCGTTGTTCATCCGACTTAAATGTAAAAAAAAAAAACAAGTGCTCGAAAGAAACTAGTCCAAGTGGGCAAGAAAAACAAAGCAGGAGATATATGATACTTTTGACTTGTCTGTATGTCCATACAGGTCACGTATATCCCTCGTTATTTACTCAGACTTTATTTTTCGGTGTTTACTTCTCTCAATATTGCCTGATTAAATGAATCTTTTACTTTTCCAAAATTTAAGATTATTATTTTTTAGCTAAAATTTTTTACCTTGATTTAAGAATAACAATTTATTAGCAACATTAGAGTCACTATGTGACTGTCGTAACTTGTGAACTATAAATAAATAAAATTTTGCTTCATTAAATAATGACTTTTGTTAAATTGCACTGTACTTTCTTAACTATTGACGTTTTTGAAGATATAAGCTCATCCCGATGTTACCCTCATCAAGAGCTTTCATTTGAGTATCCACATGCATTTTGATATATTTTTCATCTATACATATGTATAATACATATAAATATATGAAAAAATTTTCAATTTTCTTAGCGGGAAGTTAAAAAAATAGTTGAAAAAAAAAGCACCCTAATATATATAAAAAATATAACAAAATGCATGTGGGTACTCAAATGAAAGCTCTTGATGAGTGTAACATCAGGATGAGCTTATATCTTTAAAAATGTCAATAGTTCACAAAATGTAGGGTAATTTCTTAATTATGTTAAATTGCACTGTACTTTCTTAAACATTAATGTTTTTAAAAATATAAGCTCATCCCGATGTTACACTCATCAAGAGCTTTCATTTGAGTAACCACATAAATTTTGATATATTTTTTATATATCCGTAAATATATTATAAGTAAATATATGAAAAATTGATGTGGGTACTCAAATGAAAGGTCTTGATGAGTGAAACATCGGGATGAGCTTATATCTTTAAAAATGTCAATAGTTCACAAGATACAAGGTCATTTCTTAATTATGTATCTAGAGATAGAGCGTTTTCGAATGCAGCCTAAATACTCATCATCATAAATTGACTATTGGTGAGAATGATATGAAACCTTGAAAAGGCACAACTCCAGGTCAAGACCTTTCTAATGATACCAAATTGAACCATAAAAACTCATTTAATCATATAAATACACTGGCCACAAAAATTTTTCTTATTCTCTTAATAATATAAATAATTAGTGGTGTAAAATTTTGATATTATGTCGAAAATATTGGTCGTATAAAAACATTTTTGAAATAAAAGTTGTTCAAAATTCAATTTTATAAAAAAAATGTATCCTATAATTTTCTCTTAGGATCAATCAGAAAGCCGTAATTTCATAATTAAGGTGTTTGTAATTAGCAAAAAATTAAATTATTCCTCATTAATCTTAATTTCGGAATTACAGTTAAAATATTGGTTGTATAAAAAAATCATAAGAGACATTTTTTTTAGGAAATTAAATTTTGAACAACTTTTGTTTGAAAACTTTTTTTTATTAGTCTAATATTCCTAATATAAAATTGAGATGAAATGTATGTGGCATCAAACTATTCGTAACGTGATTGGTCGAATATATCATAAGCATGAATATATAAGCAAAGTCTATAGTCAGACGCGCGCTTGCGCGCGTAAATTTGAATTCTAGTTTTCTTAAAAAATCTCAAATATTATAATTATATTTAAACTCATTGTAGTGAGAAAATAAAGAAGGTGATTTCCCCTCATTCGTCCCTTTAAGTACCAGCCTAAGAGATTAAAGCCATCATCTTGTGTTCACCGAGGTCAGGAGCTCTCAAAGTACCTCACACTTTATTTTTACACAATTTCCAAGCTTTTACGTCAACGTTACATTAACTAATCTGTAACTTTTTATAAATTTCTTCTCCGTATTTTTTTTCAGATGAATAGAAATGTCGACGTGATTCTTTTATTGGACGTCAAGATAATGGATAAACTGAATAAAAAAACTAAAAGTGTCAATCTCGGAACATTAGCCTCCAAGACATTGACACGTCGGTTTAATTATTTAACCGCTGTAGATCCAACGATTCATTAAAATTGACGTTAGACAAAGTGCCAGGTGTATTATCAAGAGCTTTTGATCGACAAACTTTCGGAGCTTGTTTGAATTTTTTTTTTAAATATATTTTTGAAAAGTGTGAACATAATTTATTACAAGTAAGGCGGAATAAAATCCGACATCGGGTCCCAAGCGCGTACTAGCTTGAATTAGCTTTGTCAGCTCCGAGAGCTAATGTAAGAGAAGTGCTGGAGTGCCATAGAACCGTCTCTAATCCAGAATATCTCCAGATACTCATGTTAATACAAAGACAGAGTATACTGTCTCTGGACAGTCTTTGGAATGTCCGATTGATCCCAAGGGCTGGATCCTGCTCCGACAAATCAACTCCCACCAGATTATCGTCGTCACATAACACAACTGGGTCAATTTTGCTGCTTTATATTAATAAATCATATTTATTATTTTGATAAAAAAAATATTTAAAAATAAATATTTAAAAGCCAAGTCGAGAGTGAAAATAAGGTAAAGGCTTAGAGATAAAAGAGGCCGACGAATCACACAACTCAAACGGTACCAATAAATAACAAGGAGAGACTTGCGTTGGATCCAATTGAAGAGGAGCGACGGGAATGTCGGGGATTCGATTTTATCGCGTGCCGGATGCTCACCCATCCTCACTAGCTCTATCCTCTTTCTCTTTCTCGTTCTCATTCCCTTCAGGATTCATGACACTCCCAACAACCCCCGACACTTTGAACCCCTTTCTCCGGTATTGTATTGGGCTGAATTGCCAACGTTGTAACGAAAATTTCCAATTACACCAATACACCCCCCAACTCCCAACAGAATCCCCTTTTGTTGTATATATATATATATCTATATACGATCCGAATGAGCTCGATCCACGTGAACACATTATTGGTTTAGCGTCTTTTAATTTTATCGGCAGCTGTCGGTTATAAATTTATTTATTAAACGCGACAATAACCTTTATCATTTTTTTTAATATTTTTTAATCTATTATTTTATTATCAATCTCATACAAAAAGAAAAAAAGTCTTGAGTCAAGCGTAAATTTTTTTAAATCATAAGAAAATTTTAAGGAAGACTAAATTTTTTGAACGAAGTTAAATTTTTTTAAGCCAAGAAAATTTCTTCTTGCTCCAAAATAACTTCGGTCTTCTTTATAATTTTCTTGGTTCAACAAATTTTATTTTTCTGTGCATTAACACTGGCAGAGTTTTAGTTTTACGGCTCTTTAAATAGTAATTTTAATTGACGGATAAATTGTTTTTGTTTTTATTTTATAGGACATTCGACGCAAGCTTCGTGAATTTTTTTTTTATTGAAAAAACTCCGACAGACTATAAAGAGCCGGGGTTTGCTTTTTGTAGAAAGGTTTAATGAAAAAATGCGACAAAGTTTTATATTTCCCGTAAGGAAACCGCGGACTTTTAAGGCTTTTAGATTTATGGGTTTCTCTGGGCACGACTAGACCGGACACCTGGATAAATCGTAAAACACTCGGGCACTCAATGTCAGATTCACTCTGGATACCAGATCTGTACTATTATTTTTATTATAGATTTTTTATTACTCAATATATATTTTTTATAAATTCAAACAATCTCTCCGAAAGTTTTATTATTTTAATACAATTTACTTTCAAGGTTTATATACTGAAACAATTTTGTTTTTGTTGCCTATATAATATGCGATATTGGAAGCTCAATGAATATTCAGTAATGAATTTTTTTTCTGCTCTCAGCTCAAGATTTATTATTGAAAAAAAAAAAAAAAAAACTTTCTGACAAACAATAATTTCTTTGTTATTCAAATAAATTTCCATATTATTCGGCCATGCAGGGTAATGTTTATTTATTTCCACGCGAATAGCTACATATTTGAGTTAGAGCTTTTAAAATTCAAACTCAAAGTTCACTTGAAAATTTAATAAACAATTTTGTATAGTTATCGTCTGTTCGACAATTGCTTGGCTAAATAATACATAATAGTATGTATTAATTTTATTAGCAATCTTTTACTTCAAGTTGTATAACAGTAAAAAGTGTGAATAACCCGAGTAAGCTACAGGATATTTTTTTCGCTCAAATGTTCGAAGTCGGTGAATTTATTGTAATGAAATTTCTGTAAGTAGACGATAAAAATATATTTTTATAAAAAAGGGAAATTGAAAACTTAAAAATTTATATAGTTGTATTTAAGGATCTCGAGTTAATCGAATTTATCGCATACAATGATAAACATGTAGATATTTACAGGATATATGTATACATACATCTATAGGTATTTGCTCGCGTGTGATAAGAAGTTAGTTTTATGTGCAATTTCCTCGAGTTATCCATTTAAGGGCACTGTACGCTGGGAATTCTAGGCTTGTAACCGCTAAAAAATAACTGGTGTAACAACGTTTTATGGTAATACATGTACCACCGACCCTAAATTTTCCGCTACGTGCCGGTGCATCTACTTAAAAATTTACTATACATATATCTGTGTTTGTATTAGTATAAACGCCATTAAAAATGCTTTTCCGCAACAAAGTTTATGCCTCGTAAAATTTTTTTCATCCATTAAAAGTAATCGACCTTTGATTAATAAATAATGAGGAGTGCCATCAGATCAAAAGTTTTTGCTGGATATAAATTTGAATGTAAATGTAATTAATGAGATTTTTAATGAAAATATCAGGGTGCATACCCAGCGAATGTGTAAATTATTATCTCGTGTACAGGGTATTAATTTAATTGTAAAATGAGTTGGGATGTTATCATTTATCGGATCAGTATTATCAGTGTTGCGTGATTCTGTAAAACAATTAATGGCATTAGGTCCTGTGCGGATGAAAAGCTTCGGGTCAGTGGATCTCTCCTTCTCTCTGTACATGTGTATAGATTGAGAGAAAAAATTTATTTTTCAAAAAATTAGCAATGTAATTCGTTAAGAATTTTAAACACTTTTATTTTTTAGCCGAAAACATCAAAATTTTTCTTCTAGATTTGGTAAAATACAAAATTTTTTTGAATGAAAACTTGTAATTTTTCTATCAATAATTTTTTTTTTTTTTCAAAAAAAAAAAATTTGTATTTTTTTAGCTAAGGAAAATTTTCAACAAATTAATTTCTTGTTACAAAAATGCCCATTTTTTTTTTTTCAATAAATTTTTTCTCTCAATGTATTAATAAAATTTCCGACTGGCAATTAATATTTGACTGAAAAAAAAAATTCTATAACAGTTAGTTGAAATAGAAATTGGAAAGTTGTCACTCGCAAGCTCATGGATATGGAAAAGTAAACCGTAAATTGTTTTCGAGATAATATTCAAAGTATCGGGGATGTATGTGCTGGAGGTTTTGCGGTCTAGATTACTCGAAATGAAAGGGTCTAAATGGATTCAGTGGTATGGTCCCGACGGTTTGTTTAAATCAAATGTCGTTCGGGTTCCCGAGTATACTCTCTGCATAGAGTTTAAGTTGGCGTGGTTTTAAACCGGAAGGGCGGGGTCCGAAGGTAAAATTGCTATATCTGCCGAGAAATCTCATGCTGCAGTCTGCGTCTCCTTTCGGTCACCCAGTTTAATTTCATTTTACATTACATTAGAATAGATTAGATTTTTCGATTAATAAAATTCAACCGCAAGATAAATTCACTCGCTGAAAATCCCTTTTTATATTTAATATACTTTGTTTATCATTTTGACAGATGGACTGTTTATCTCGGAGGACTTTACTTCACATTTGTCGGGGTTGAGACGAAAGGCCGCATGTCAGGAAGTCTTCAGCGACAGTTAAGGGAATTGACTTATCCAGATGACAGTGAAATGGGTGTAATAGACTAGTTTCTTATTTATCATTTCAAACAGAGAAAACCCCCATGAAAAACACAAATAATATTTATACTTTTCAGTTATTTTTCGCCCTGGCAATCCCATTGGACGACCCGGTCGCGACGAAAGCGATGTCAGTGGCATTTTTTTTCGAAGCGAACTACGGGCTCGTTAGAGAACAGGAATCATTAGCATCCAGGGCGAGAAAACAAAGAGCCACGTTTTCGGATCATAAATTATTAACTCGCGCGACTGTCTACTCAATTCTCGAATCTAAATTCGAGGCGTAAGTACCCTTTGCTCTTGTTAAAAAATTTATTTAAAAAAAAACTCTGTTGAGATATTAATTTTGACATAAGCTCCGTTACCACCCAGACAAATAGCTCAAGACACTGAGATGTAAAAGCACGACAAATAAAACAGGATTTTAGCTTAAAGTCGTCGGTAATTAGCCGCGAAAAGGGTAATGGTCTTTGCTTTTAACCTTATATGTGCATATTACTCCGCCAAAAAGATTTATTTAGTTACGGATGAGTGGCTGATGGAATATATTTTATATATTATATATTATCCTATTTTGGCATAAAAGAAACTCGATGTACCGCCAAGTAAATCCGCTTTTGTCATTCAACTTTATCACAAATCGTATTTCTCAGCCTCAGCATCCAGACTGGAGACTTTAACCAATACTTACCAGCTCCCGCTCTGCTCCTTGATATATTGATCCCTTGGCCTTTTTCTAAAACTTTTTTTACGCAACCCCCGGCGAGCATCGAGCTTTTTGCTGGACCAAACTCTGTCATTAGTCCTCGGTAACTGCTGAGAATCTGTCTGTCTATCTACCCGCTGTGGGATAACTGCTGCTCATTAATCTCCCAGTACAGATACATAACATTGCACACATGCATTTATTAATGGAATTGTCTGAGATGGCACGAAGACAAATTAAACAAAAGACTTGCGCGTAAATGTCTGACGGTCGGATTGTAATGAGAAGCTTGTTAGTCGATAATCCCATTGAAGCGCTCTATATTCCTCCTTCCACTCGAGGAGGAGTAAGCGAAAGGAGGACTCGTTAGATAGGATTATCCGATCGAAATGTTAGAACTTGGTAAGCAATTCAACCTGTATGGCTGTGAGCAGTGAGCAGCCAGGGCACACTGTCAGATTATTCCGAGAGCTAGAGGGTTGAGGGCCAAGACAACACCCAAAGTTGAATCTCCAGGATACTCTGTTCAGAAATTGATGAAATATAGCACTGGAGTTTACCCATGGATGTCGTTACCCGCTTTGAGATTAAAAGCTCTTCTGTTTGTTATGTATTATCTTATTAATCGGTGGGCTAATATACTTGTATCATTTTCATTTGTAACTAATTGCTCGTCGTTTATTTTATTTTGTTATTAAATTGTATGTATATTTAGCTTCAAAATTAATTAATTTTATCTCGCTTTTTATTTTCATAAAAAAATTTTTTTTTACTATTAAATTTATTTACTAAAAATTAATTTCAATTTTTTTACAACAATATTATAAAATTAAATTTTTTACAAAAAAATATTAATTTGTTTTTTTTAATACATTTTTGAAAAAAATTTTAACGATAAATTTTTTATAAAAATTTAAAGATCAAATTAATTAAAAAAAACAATTTTTTTTTAATAATAGATGAAACTTTTTTTCAACAATAATATTATAAAATTAAATTTTTTACAGAAAAAAATGTTTGATTAAAATTATTTCAGAAAAAAAAATTTTTTTTTAATACATTTTTGTAAAAAATGTTTTATAAAAATTTAAAAATCAAATTAATCATAGAAAAAAATTTTTTTTATTAGTTATATTTATTTATTTGATATAATATGTAATTGGTAATTGATTTTGTAGCCTCGGGCTGTCAGGTCAAGCATGTTTATTGCGTTCAATCTGCGAAACGAGTAAATTGTCTGTGGATCGTGACAACGGACTCATCGGTGACCTATTGAGAATTTTACTAACGTGAGTACTCGAAATAAACAACAAAATAGATCCGAAGGATTGCCCTCAGAGTTTCGGAGGCTTGAATAATTATTAAATGGATAGCGAGCAAAGAATAAGAGCCGTATGCAAATTTCTATAATTGATTATATTATCAGAGACCCGGGAAAGGTTCGAGATGAAATTGGGCTATCTCAGAGACAGACAGATCCGAATATATATTGATCCATCTAACCTGCAGTATATACTGGACAATATATATATTATATAGTGAGAGGTAGATCGGATCTCGGGCTGTAATCGATTACAAACCAGTGTACATGAATCCGAAACCCAGAGGGTGATCTACGGGCGCCTTGAGGCGTAAATTTCAGCATGACTATGACTATTCTCCAGGCCATCTTCATCTGCTAACGAGAACTTGCCAACTGAATACGTCCTGGCCGAACAACGACAGCTCAAGAGCCGGATCAATCATCACTCCCGATGCGACACCGGCAATAATCATTATCATCATCATGATCCACCTCTCGATGATGATGATAACAAGGAGCTCAATGATTGCAGTACAATTTATCCCCTTTGTCCTATTAGTATTTATGACTACATAACCATCCAATGATTACCTGTGTGGTGTCATCAGGCTCAAGCTTTACTGATCAATATCTTCCGCGTCATCTCCGTCTTATTTAAAATTAATTAGTGTATTAAATTGTTGCATGAATTACCAAGATAGTAATTTTTTCTGTTTAAAAAAATTTTTTTTATCCAATAATTTTTAATAATTTACTAGCAACCTTGCAGTCATTATGTGACTGCCGTGACTTTTGAACTATAAATAAATAAAATTTTGCTTTATTAAATAATTACTTTTGTTAAATTGCCCTGTACTTTCTTAATTATTGACGTTTTTAAAGATAATAAGCTTATCCCGATGTTACACTTATCAAGAGCTTTCATTTGAGTACGCACATGCATTTTTGATATATTTTTCATATATACATATATATCTATACTAACAAATGGAGAGCCGTTTTTTTGTCCGGTTATACTGCAAAAACTACTGAACCGATCGGAATAATACTTATACTATAAGATGCAGCGTGTTTCGGAGAAGGTTTTAGTATATGATATGGTGGTGATTACTTATCCAGAAGCTATATTTTTTTGACTTAGAAATAATGAATTTTTATTGTACACGGAGAAAATAAAACAATAATGATTACTGTTTCGTACAAATATTAGAAAAATGTTTATAGTCAGTAGTGAGTGCTGTACGAAACACGACTGGTTAGTGCCAGAACACGACTCAGTAGTGTGCAGACAATAGTCAGTAGTTTTTATGTAGCGCTCTCTACTGTCCCAAACATTTCAACCTCATTTTCTTTCAAAACAGTACTGAGTACTGCACAAAATAGTAATCAGTGTTGTTTTTTTTTTCTCCGTGTAAGTAAATTTATTCTATTCAATTGTCATATATTTGTTTAACAATAAATTTTTTAATTCTATTGGTTATGTTTATATACTAGGCAGATTTCTTCACTTATGAAACCTGCAATTTTTTTAACTGAAACTTTCAATGCTCATTACAAATTTTTTTTTTCATATCAATTATTATTCATTTTTGTAAGAAAGACACGGGGATGTTATAATGATTGCACATTGAAAGTTACAATGAATATTAGCTAGAATAATTACATGGATAAAAGGTGCATGCCAATTCGACAGAATTTGGAATCTGTGCAAGTCAAAAAAATACTCTAATTAAATTTTAAGTCTAGATTTAAAAATACAATTCTATAAAGCGCCCAGGGGAGCGGACGAGTAACAGCTAGTAATACATATAAATATATGAAAAATTGATGTGGGTACTCAAATGAAAGGTTCAATAATTCACAAGATATAAGGTAATTTCTTAATTATGTATCTAGGGATAGAGCATTTTCGAATGCAGCCTAAATACTTATCAAGTTATCATCATAAATTGACTATTGGTGAGAATGATATGAAACCATGAAAAAGCACAACTCCAGGTCAAGACTTTTCCAACGATACCAAATTTAACCATAAAAACCCATTTTATCATATAAATACACTGGCCACAAAATTTTCAATAATTTATTCAAGGCAATTAAACGCTTGAAAATTATTTTTTGTAAATAAAAAATTGTTTTCTTGAATGAAATAATTTTTTTTTTTAGTGGAAAAAAAAAGATAATATTTCTTGATTTATAGAAAAAATTTCGGCAGATATTTTAGTTTGAATTCTTTGAAAGTTTGTTTGAAATAACGAGTGATGACTTTGTAATATTTTTATAGGACAATACAACTTCCCATTTTCTGAAATAATTTGAAATTGTATTAATATCATTAAATTAAATAAATAATAAACACTGAATAATAAAATCTAAGTGACCCGTATATATGTAACTTTATTTGTTTGAATAAACAGTTGTTTATCAAAAGAATAATCCTTGTAGAATGCTTTTAAATAAATAATATTTTTTGATGGATATAAAATAATATTTACATTTACATTAATCAACAAGAGTGCAATACGATTGTCAGGATAAATTGTTTGTAGTGAAATCAAATAGCGGATGAACGAGAGCTTTTCAAAAATCCCTTAACAAATCAATCATATATGTATACCGATACACGTAATATTTATATATATAAATTTTTTCGACAGAGAGATAAAAGTAAAAAATATAAAATAAAAAATAAAAATGATAAAGAGAAACAGGGAGAAGGGAGGAGTGATCAAGTGATAGAGAGGGCTTAACACTGCTCGTTGTTGAATTTTACACGAGGATTCCAATCAAGTCCAAGAGCCCCACGGGACAATTCCAATGGTATTTTGTGCAGTTTCTAGTTTGTCCGATTAGTTCAGCCTCGACAATGTCCTGCGGCAAATTCTCCTGTTGAGAAGTCGACGGTCTGGAAAGTCATTTCAAATAAACCTATTTATTATTTATAGTATAAATATTTAGAAAATTACTTACGTTAATATGACATTAATGATGTCGCCGATAACACCATTGTCGCTTAAGTCGAATTTAAGAGTCTCGCATATTGATCGCAATAAACAAGACCTCCCGGAAAATCCAAAACTCTCTAATTTATTTTCTATAGTCTGATAAATTGTTTTACGATCTATTGATCGCTTGCGTCTCAGGCCCTCGCTCCAAGGCGCGAACACCGTCGAGTTTTCCGGCAAAGGGTAAGTCGCTTCAAAAAAGTACGACACTGATACGGATTTACTCGGGTCTGGTAGAGGTACCGCTAGTGCAAAAAATATCTGACACACTTTCATTAATTAATCAATTATATTTAAATAAAAATTTAATTAGACCCAAATTTTTGGTAAATATTTATAAGTGGGTCAACCATTTTCATTTTCATTTTTTTGAACGAAATTTCTTTTTGATTTTATTGATATATATTTTTTTTAAAATACATAAAAAAATGAACAATTAAAAAAAAAAAAAAGAGATAGATATATATATATATATATATATATATATATATATATATATATATATATATATATATATATATATATATATATAACA